TTCTGTCGGCAAAAGTGAAAGAGGCCACCTTTCAAGCGGCACGGTTTGACTTTATATAACCTCCCCAGGTCAACCTCGTTTCGACCTTCGTGTCCTCTCTTCTCTTCTTCTTCTCCTTGTCCGTCTCTCTCTCTTTGCTCGTTGACCTGCTGCTGTTGCCAGCCTGTTTCCATCCTCTTGACGCTCTTAATACAAGTTGACGGAGTTGTCTCGTTTTGTTTACTGAGTACATAGCTCTAAGGACCCGATCGCAATGCGTCTCAACGCCCAGCTCGCGTCCTTGCTGCTCTCGTCAATAGTGCTTGTGGGCTCTGCCCACGGCGCTGACGAGGAGCCAGTGGCAGAAAAGAAGGAGACTTCTTCCATTGAGAGGCCTACCTTTGTTGTACGTTTTCGCTCCTCAAAACACACTTTTGTTACTGTGCGAGCATTCTAACTTAATATGATAGCCTACCACTATCAAAGCTCCGTTCCTCGAACAATTCACCGACAAATGGGATTCCCGATGGTCCGTCTCCCATGCTAAGAAGGAGGATGCGAAATCTGATGAAGAATGGGCCTACGTTGGTGAATGGTCGGTGGAGGAGCCAACCGTCTTCAAGGGCATCGAAGGCGATAAGGGTCTTGTTGTCAAGAACCCAGCTGCCCATCATGCTATATCTGCCAAGTTCCCTAAGAAGATTGACAACAAGGGCAAGACTCTTGTTGTCCAGTACGAGGTTAAGCTGCAGAGTATGTAATTTGCACATGAAGCTACCTTAGTTGAGCTTGTAACTGACATATCCTAGACTCATTGAGCTGTGGAGGCGCATACATGAAGCTCCTACAAGAGAACAAGAAGCTTCATTCTGATGAATTCTCCAATGCATCCCCCTACGTCATTATGTTTGGTCCCGACCGATGTGGAGCTACCAACAAGGTATATATTACTATTGAACCATACCTCCTGAAACATGGTATCTAATTCAATTTCCAGGTTCATTTCATCTTCAAGCACAAGAACCCCAAGACCGGCGAATATGAGGAGAAGCACCTCAAGGCCCCTCCGGCGGTTAAGGTTACCAAGCTCACCAGCTTGTATACTCTCATTGTCAACCCAGACCAGACCTTCCAGATCCGCATTGACGGAGAACCCCTCAAGAACGGCACCCTCCTCGAGGACTTTGCTCCTCCAGTTAACCCTCCAAAGGAAATTGATGACGAGAAGGACACCAAGCCTGCCGACTGGGTTGACGAAGAGAAGATCCCTGACCCAGAAGCTAAGAAGCCTGAGGATTGGGATGAAGACGCTCCCTTCGAGATTGTCGACACCGAGGCCACCAAGCCAGCTGACTGGTTGGATGACGAGCCAACTACCATTCCCGACCCTGAGGCTGTCAAACCAGAGGATTGGGACGACGAAGAAGACGGTGACTGGATCGCCCCAACAGTCCCCAACCCCAAGTGTGAGGAGGGCTCTGGATGTGGCAAGTGGGAGCCCCCGATGATCCGAAACCCAGCTTATAAGGGCAAGTGGTCTGCTCCTCTGATTGATAACCCTGCCTACAAGGGAGTCTGGGCTCCAAGAAAGATCCCCAACCCCAACTACTTCGAGGACAAGACTCCTTCTAACTTCGAGCCCATGGGCGCTGTAAGTTATAACTTGTTTAGACGTTTCCCCTAATATTGTTCACGAAACTAACAATGTTGTAGATCGGCTTTGAGATCTGGACCATGCAAAACGACATCCTCTTCGACAACATCTACATTGGTCACTCCATCGAAGATGCGGAAAAATTCAAGGCCGAAACCTACGACATTAAGCGCCCCATCGAGGAGGCTGAGGAAGAAGCCAGCAAGCCCAAGCTTAGCCCTCAAATCGACGATGAGACCGACATCTCATTCACCCAAGACCCAATTGGCTATGTCCGCGCTAAGATTGACCGTTTCATCTCTCTCGCTCAGGATGACCCCATCGCCGCTCTCCAGGCTGTTCCTGAGGTCGGCGGCGCCATTGGTGCCATTCTCGCTTCCCTTCTTATAATCATTGGCATGTTCGGCCTCTCATCCCCTGCCCCACCAGCCAAGAGCACCGGAAAGACGGCCGAGAAGACCGAGAAGGAGAAGACCACGGAGGCCGTCACCGCCTCTGGTGCCGACAGCGGTCAGGGAGAGGCAAAGAAGCGCGCTGCAAAGTCAGGCTAGAAGAAGTCACTGACAAATAAATCAACATAAATATCAGCATACAACTGACCTCAGCACAGCAAGCAATGCCCGCCGGCTCACCCGCGATGCGACTCAAGTGACATGACGCGCAAGAGAAAAAGAACGAATTCCCTTTTACGCCTTTTTCCTTTCTTCTTTCCTTGTCTTTCTTATACTTTACCTCTTTTATACCGTTATTGCAGCTGGCGTCTTTGCATCCTTTACATTTGCCATATGGAAAAAAGGGGGAAGAAAGTATTTCTTATTGAACAAGTCGGGGGCATCCAGGTTCCCTTTTTCTGCTGCAGCTAAAATCCCAAAGGATGTGGAAAGGGCAGGGCTGGATAGACGGGCTTCCGTTTCGCGTCATCTAGAAACATAATCCTTCTATGCACCAGGCCGCGAGTTGATGCTCTGTAAAGTATTTATACCTATCTCTATATCTCTATTATCTCCATCTCCATAGCAAATACCATATATGAGCTTACATAATACTCGTCCGGTCCTGTAGCGGCGTTGCTGATTGGTCCAATAAAGCCGGCACAAACCGCTTACCCGAGGAACTTGCTAGCGCCGGCGGCAACTCCAGAAAGCCTAAGCTGCTGGCGCCGCAACTAACGACTCCGACTTCCAACTGCTGCATCTTCGTCTCATCCCAGTCAACGCCTCCCCTCTCTCCCTGCTCAGCTCCAGCTCCAGCTCCGAGACGACGACGACGACGACGACAGAGATAGTGACATAGCCTGCAATCATGGCCTCCAGAGCTGCCACCCGTTTGACTGCGTTCCAGCGCTCCCTGGCTGCTGCTTCTCCCCGCAGCTCCCTTGCCCGCTCTCTCACCACAGCAGCCCGTACCGGCAGCACCACCAGCAGCACATCCATGATGGCCTCGTCCAGGAATAGCTCAGCTACAGCTATCCGCAGACTGCACGCCACGGCTCAGCAGCTCAAGCCCGCTGCCGCTGCAACTGCCTCAACCACCTCCGCAGCATCAACGGCTACCTCATTCCCCCAGTCCCACGAACGCATTGCCTCCCCCATCGACACCACCAACTTCATCGACAACGAGTTCACTGCTTCTCGCGCAGAGACATGGATTGACCTGTTCGATCCTGCTACCAACAACCTGGTTACTCGTGTTCCCCAAAGCACCGAGGAAGAGATGAAAGCTGCCGTTGCCAGTGCCCAGGCTGCGTTCCCGGCTTGGAAGGCCACCAGCATCATGGCCAGGCAGCAGATCATGTTCAAGTTTGTCAACTTGATTCGTGCCAATTGGGACCGTCTTGCTGCTAGCATCACCCTTGAGCAGGGTAAGACTTTTGCCGACGCTAAGGGAGATGTTCTCCGTGGTCTGCAGGTAGCCGAGACCGCCTGCGGTATCACCACCCAGATGACCGGTGAGGTGCTCGAGGTTGCCAAGGATATGGAGACCCGAAGCTATAGAGAGCCATTGGGTGTCGTCTCCGCCATTTGCCCATTCAGTAGGTGTCCCCATACATATGCTTGCCTCTCTCACTATGAATCTGTTCAATAGTATAGTTGCTAACGCCAGATAGACTTTCCTGCTATGATTCCGCTATGGTGTATCCCAATTGCTACCATGACTGGTAACACTCTTGTCATGAAGCCATCTGAGCGTGACCCCGGTGCGGCTATGATCCTTGCCGAGCTTGCCAGGGAAGCCGGCTTCCCCAAGGGTGTCATCAACATCATCCACGGATCTGCCAAGACTGTCGACTTCATCCTAGATGCCCCTGAGATCAAGGCTATCAGCTTTGTTGGAAGCAACCGCGCTGGTGAATACATCTTCACCCGTGGCTCTGCCAACGGCAAGCGTGTTCAGGCCAACCTTGGTGCCAAGAACCACTGTGCCGTCCTTCCCGATGCCAACAAGAATCATGCCCTGAACGCCATTGCAGGTGCTGCTTTCGGTGCTGCTGGCCAGAGATGCATGGCCCTTAGCACCTTGGTCATGATCGGTGAGACCAAGGAATGGCTTCCTGAGATCGCTGAGCGTGCTCGCGCCCTCAAGGTCGACGGTGGATTCGAGGAGGGAGCTGATCTCGGTCCCGTCATCAGCCCCGAGAGCAAGAAGAGAATCGAGGATATCATTGCGACCGCTGAGAAGGAGGGCGCTACCATCCTCCTCGATGGCCGTGGCTACAAGCCCGAGAAGTACCCCAACGGTAACTGGGTTGGCCCAACCATTATCACTGGCGTCAAGCCACACATGACCTGCTACAAGGAGGAGATCTTCGGCCCGGTCCTTGTCTGTCTCGAAGTTGATACCCTCGACGAGGCTATCGAACTTATTAACGCGAACGAGTACGGCAACGGTGCTGCCGTTTTCACCCGCTCCGGCCCAACTGCCACCAAGTTCCAGCGCCAGATCGAGGCTGGCCAGCTTGGTATCAACGTGTAAGTGTCTTCCCGCTAAACAAAATTGCAAATCACATTAAGTATTTAACTAATATTCCTACTACAGCCCCATCCCTGTCCCACTCCCAATGTTCAGCTTCACTGGAAACAAGAAGAGTATCGCTGGTGGCGGAGCAAACACGTTCTACGGCAAGCCTGGCCTCCAGTTCTATACCCAGCAGAAGACCGTCACCAGCTTGTGGAGAAGTGAGGACGCAATCAGCAACAAGGCAAGCGTTGTCATGCCCACCCACAGTTAATTGATTTCCTTTCGTATAAAAAGAACAAGAAAACGAGAAAGAAAAGACACATACACCCAGTTCTAGCCCTGTCCTTTTACATGTTCGCGGATAACATAAACTTCTTCTTTTCGTCATAGATTGTCGCCCATTTCTAGTTTAGACATCCTCGACCAGCATACCAAATCGACTCTCAGCCTCGTAGCTGGAATACGCAACGTTACCACGATATGATCCAGAAATTATATGTTTAGTAGTAGCTTGTGCCTTGATAATGTTTGGAGATAAAATGAGCGTTTGTTTGACACGATTAACTATGTTGTAAAGAATGTTGAATGCGATACCAAATTGTTCACCTCTTGTCTGTTGAAACAAGGGGAACCTTCAAAATTCAAAGAGAAATCAACCCGTCCTACGTTTATTGGGATTTCACCTAGTAGTCCTCCCCCCGAGAAATCACCTCCTTACAGTTGGACCTGAGTAGAACGGTCTATTTAAACAATGGGTTAGCGTATCAAACCATGTAAGGAGGAAGTGCACTTACATGTTCGAACTGCGCAACATATGACCCTGGAACATCAACGAGCGGTGCATAGCATTCTACGATATCATTTGAAATGAGCGACCTCATACCAAGATGATAGTTCTTCACCCCCATATGCTCAAGATATCGCCTAGAAAATACCAGCGTTCCGAAATTCTCACGGATGGTCTTCAACAGTGACTTGGCAGATGCATAATGAAGACCAGCAGTGCTAGCATGTTCGTTGAGCCCGTAACCATATACCCCGACTTCATCCCGGGTATAGCCCTTTCCAGTACTTCCAAAAGTCTCAATAGCAAAGACATCACCTTCTTCCATGCGTTGGGTGGTCTTTGACCTGACAAAGGGGACTTGCTTTTCGCCATGGATCTTGTAGCGCAGAATGTTATGACCAGTAAGACTACGAAGGGCCTTCACAGGAATGACCTTCCCATTGATTTCAACTTCATAACTTTCCATCACTTCTTGGATTTCTCCACTAATATGATCAATTCGAGCATCAATACCAGCTTCCTACATTATGGTTAGTACTATACAGGTCACAGAAGAGTATAAATAGGCCCTATAGGAGATACCTTGAGTCCGGTATTGGTAGCTGCTTTCACGGCTGTAAGTAGATTATCGTAAACAGGGTTAGAAGCCATAGTAAAGGCGCTGTCTACAATTCTTCCATTGACATGAACTCCAAAGTCTATTTTCAAGACATCATCATGCTGGAGGATAACCTCTTTGGCCCCAGGATTAGGGGTCCAGTGAGCAGCCACATTATTGAGGCAGAGCCCGGTTGGGAATGCTAGGCCAGCTTTTAAAGCATCGCCAGTTTCAATTCCTTCGTGACCAGTAAGTGCGCGAACACCAGTCTCAATCTCATGTGCAAGCTCGCTCAGTGAAACACCAGGCTTCGTGATTGACTGTACGTACTGACGGACCTGACGATGAACTTCAGCAGCTTGGCGATAGTCAGTCAGAAACTCGTCGTTCATGTTTTTGATAGCAGCCCGATGACGAAGTTCTTCTGCAGTTGTGCGTTGAAGGTTGTCATTGCAAGCGGCATATTCGACAATCTCGCCCTCTGGGTATCGCTGATCATGAAAGATGCTGGGTAGCGGCACTCGTGGGGGAGTTGTCTGTTGCCCCTTTGCCGTCTTCTTCTTTTTCTTCTCGTTGTTCTTTCTTTTTCTCTTCTTGCCATCTAGTTATGATGAAAAAAATTAGCAGTGTTAGGTAGGTACAAAAGTCTAGTTCATTTACCATTGTTCGGCTGGCTACCGGACTTCAGGTCAGTTCCGATATTTTGATGGTCATCATTGTCCCCTTCCTCATCGTCATCATCTCCGTCAAGCACGCCTTGAACAAGTCCACTTGCGGCAGCTGGTTTGGGAGGGTTGATAATAGCAGCCACACTACCGGTGGGCGGTTCTACTCCAACATTAGTAACAGCGCGAGCACGGCAGCAGGGGTTTCTTTTGGTTTACCATTTGGCCCCTGACGATGACCTTCTGGTGACTTGGATCCCATAATTTACACTGGCCTGTTCTCATGAAGCACGTCGTTGATATAGTCTGGTTGTACTCCGTAGTTGACTGCTAAAACTTCAGCTGAGGTTGGCAACACTGAGCAGTTAGTTAATTATTGAGGTCGCATGCCCGTCTTGGCGCATCCTTCGCCGTGAGATCTCCGTCTTTCTCATGTCTTGTGCTAGCCTGGCAAGTATAGTGTGAGATAGCCAGAAATAATACTAAAGAAATAATCTCTTACTTATAAACAGGGCATTCAAAAGCTGAGGACTTATTTGAGTATGGCATAAATCTAGGGGATATAAACTTGGTATTGGCATGAATTACATTCCAAACTAACTATTCAAAAAAAAGAATTATCCGTAGACAATTCCTACTCAGAATCCAACCATTCCAAGGGCTGAAAGCAAAAGATAGTGATATCATGGATAAATGGGCAGGTAGATAGCCAAGTCGCATCTAGTCTATGAGCGGGTATGTATGCAGAAACTCTACAGGCTGTGCAGAGATGGGCTCTGAAATGCAAAGGCTTTCGACACACATAATCGGCCATAAATTACTCCTCTTGGCCGAGATAACCATAGACAAGTCTGACTTTGCTGCAGACGCCGTTCTTGGCAACGACGATACGGCGAGTGTAGTATCGTGCGCCGTTGATCACTTCGAAACCCCAGACCTTAGAAAACGTTAGTTGTGAATAACTGAATATACTGAAGGAGTTGCCTTACCTGTTCGGCAGTCCAGCCGTTGTCAACACTCTCAACCCAGCTCTGCAAGAATGGCTCGCTTCCCTCACTCTCATCAACAACCCAGCCGTCAGACGCAGATCCGTCAGCTAGGACGTCTCCGTTGAAAAACTTGGCGACACCAGCATCTTCCTCCTCCTTTCCAACCTTGGTCTGTATCTCAAGGTCAGGAACAGTCTTGGAGCCATCTTTCTTAGAGCTAACGAAGCGAGTCTGGCCCTTGACGGAGCCGAAAATGTGATCGGTGTGCTCCCTGACGTTCCAGCCGAGCTCACGCTTCTCGGTGGTACCAGAGATTCCGCCAGTCAGGGTCTGCGCAATATCGATATGGACAATATCCTCTTCAGTGTACTCCTTGATGTGTAGGGTGATAGTGGCTAGGCCGATGGCCTTACGGGTGAACCATGAGATTCCTTGCTATAGCCTTGTAAATAAATGTCGCATATGTAATGTCTAGGGGGAAACATATAACGTACAAGCTGTAGGGTTGGGTCGGTGCTGTCGGAGAGCGAACTATCCTAGTCGTCTGTTAGACCCCGCATATTGAATCAGAGGCAACAGAATGGAGATATCAGGCCCATATGTTGTCTCTTTTGTTTAAGCTGCCTATATAATCCAGTTCTTCCAAAGGACCTTGGGCTCTGCAGAGGCTCCTTGACTTACCATAGTCCATCTTCCACTCAGGTTGTGAACATTAGCTTCCTTTGGAGCGGCCATTTTGATAATGTGATGTAATGGACAAATATAAGTGCGGGGGACGAAGATGAATGTCGAGAGAGCAGACTTGCGATCCAGATATGAGTAACAGAAGAAGAAGAATATGCTGATGGTGAGAAGAGGAACGGCTGTTGAAGAAACTCCTTTTTAAAAGAGTCGTTTGAATTAACTAGTTGGTTACTCCGTAAAATGTGATGGAGACGGTAAACCTCGGAATAGCTGGAAACTTCCGACTTGCGCACTATTTATCATGTGCAAGTGACGGCATTGAACGTGGGGAAGAGCTCCGCCAAGGGTGCCGGCAAATCGTTTCTAAATCCAGGAACGAAAGTTGACTGCCACCACCCACAAATCGCTGAGCTTCGTTTGACGCCCTTCCACGAGTAAAACGGGGTCGGCTGGAACAAGCAGCACTCCGTTGTGGCAAGCACATGTAATCCCCCATCCTCAGCCCCAGCGTTTTGATGTGCCCCGGAAACTTCCCGTCCACAGCATTAGTAGCAGTTCTATAGCCCGTCCCCCCCCCCCGGAGCTGTTTGTAGGCGCAATTATTAGTGCGGAAATAAGAGCCATGGGAATGGGAGCCTGCTGAACCCCTTTTGGAATCTCCCGAGAGTTTATGTTTGTTGTCTCGCATTTTCGGGGGTCTTTCCCACGGCTTGTGAAGAGGGCAAGCCCTAACTGTAGATGCCATCCTACTATTGGTTAGTGAATAAAGTCATCGAGGAGATGGGAGTAAGTCATCATTTGGCCTATCGAAACTGCATGTCTTAGTTCAATCCTACTACCGCTGCCTTCTCCATCGTAGAGAGTGCAGGCATAGCGAGCCTGTGCGGCCGGGAATTCGCTGTGGGAGGTTGGAAACTTCCATCTCGACTTGGAACGTTGAGGGAAGTCGATTTAAGGTGTGAACCGTCACGTGATACAAACATGGCGCGCCCGGTGGAGGGAGATTTGAAGGTGAAGGTGAAGGTGAAGATGAAGGTGAAGAGAAGGATGGAGAGCGTCAGCAGCATCGACAAGAAGCGAGACGGGGACTAAGAAAACAGCTGAAATGGCGTTTAATAAGAAATACGCTGGACTTCCTGACCTGGTATGTGCCTCTATGAGAAATACCGCCTAGGGGTGACCGCCGTTTGCTAACACCTGGTGTGATAAGGACCTTGCTCCTGATATCTATGAAACCCCCGAATTGACAGACGCTTCTACGCTACCGGTAATGCCTACTCGCGGCTAATGTGGACTCTGGAGATTTACATGCTGATAGAAGAATATATTAGGCCACAACGGTACGCTCCTCTTCGCCCTTCGATCCGGAACAGTCTTCAAACCCAGAGATCGATGGCCGTAGATTACGAGTTGATGAAGCTCGTTCACATTTCGAGCCTGTTCGAGTCGATGCCAAAGACGTGGACTTCTCGGATAGCATTGCATCCAAGAAGAAATCCTACCGAACGATAAGGGGCCCGGGACGGCAGAATAGGGTAGAGTTGGTACTTGGAGACCTTAGTGACGAAGAGGACGAAACCCTTGAGAGAAAGCTCGCTCGACTTCGAAGGGAGACTGAAGAACTAAAAGAAGAGCTTGCCAGCAGGAAATCCCAAAGGGATGGCGATGCAGAAGCAGAGGAAGGTGAGGCACATGGTGACCATGATGAAGGAATCTTGGAGCTTAGCCGGACTTTGGATACCCTCTACACTTCTTCCAAAGGAACCGGTCCCACGGCAGAGGCCGCGTTATCCCATAAACTCTCTACAGACGTATACAACGGCCAACGTGCTTTAGACCAGGGGCCTGTAGGTGCTGATGGGTCTTCCGCTTCCCAGCCCAGCCCTAACGCCTCAATTCTATCGCAAGCGGCATCTTTCGACGCACGGCTCGCACTGCTAGAAGCTGCACTGGGGTTGAAGAACACACCTGTACCAGTATCACCAGACGACCCTTCAGACATGGACATTCAGCCTATTCTACCATCACTCAACCATCTTTCTTCCCAGCTCTCGACACTCAGCAGCACTCTTACTGCTAACCAATCGACACATACCGATCGGCCATCTGGGCCCTTATCGGTAACGACAACTCCACACATTGAAGCATTGAGCAGCAAAATCCGCAAACTCACTGCTGATGCGGAAGCACTTACCACTGCCCGACAGAGAGCAACCGATGCAGCTCGAGCAGCCTTTTCTGCCCGTATTGCTGCTGCAACGTCTGACGAACCGCAGCCTTTCATGGATCCTACACTTTCTACCTCCGCAGCAGTAGAATCAGATGCTGCTGCATCTGAACAAACTGCCAAGATACAAGCATTATACCAAACCCTGCCCACCATTACCTCCTTGCATCCCTTGCTTCCTGCTGTATTAGAACGATTACGTTCTTTACGTGCTATACATGCCGGAGCTGCAACGGCTAACCAGGACCTTGATGCGTTAGAACAACGTCAGGCTGATATGAAGAAAGAAATAGATCAATGGAGGGAGGGGCTCAAAGCCATGGAGGAAAAGGTCAAGGAAAGTGAAGAGACAATGAAAGGGAACATGGAAGTCATGGGCCCTTGGGTTAAAGATTTAGAGAAAAGGCTAGACGCCTTGCACCAACAGTCATGATTCCCTGTGTGCTGAGATCGAATTTTCCTAACATACCCCCAAGTTGCTGCTCTCACTTGGTCTATATAATACAATAATCCGTCGCCCTTTAATAATGATGTCTCCATGAAGTGATACACCCGGTAGTACATATAGATATAAAGAATATTCTTCAGAATGGTGTTGAGAACATTCATCTGATATGTTTCATGATCCTGATCTTTGGGGCCAACCGAGCTTCAACCCACCAGCCACGTGTAATATGTTTCCTTGCACCCGCCTTGAACGATTCCCAATAATCAACTCCTGTATCCCCAAAGAATGTCCGCAAGATCATAGTCTCGACACCACACGCGTAGCAGTTATCAGTACCTGGCCGAACAATGCGGATCCCATCATATCCATAAGCGTTATCAATAAGCCTCCAATTACCCATTCCACGGAGAACCGACTCGTCTTCAACAAGGGCATAATCAATATGACCCCAAAATTCAGAGTTTCTCTTTTCAATTTCGCTTTCTGTCTTGTCATATATCCATCTGGACTCTCCGGCTTTGAGTTCGGGAAAGCTACCATCGTTCGAGCCAGGGAGATAGATCATTGGGGACCTGGGAATTGGCATTTCCAAGAAATGAGTTGCTCCGGTTTGGCATGTTAATGTGTCCATGTGGACGGTAATGACTGGTTGAGTGTTATGGGCGAGAACATGCACTTGCTTCATGGCTGCTCCGCCTGGGTAGTTGGCCATGGAAATAGGTAGAAGGATAAGGAATGAGATCGCGAACGAAACCAAGGTTGAAAGGACAAGGGAGAGGGAAAGGAGGCAGTAAAGGATGGATTTCGCTCGACGAGTCCAGACGTAGGATGCTCCAAGGGAAGCAACGCCAGTCAACGGCGGAATTGTGTAGATGATAAAACGCCATTCCTTATGCGGCTGAAGACTCATTACCGCAATAAAGCTGACGAGCGGAATGACGACGGACCGGGCAGCTTGACGGAGCGGATGGGTCAGACAAGCAATAGGGATACACACAAGGTATACCAACGGGTTTAAAAGAAGACGAGGCAGGGCATTAGTCAAGTAATGATACCACGGGTCGGTACCCCAGTTTGAAGCCTTCCCCTGAAGAACATTATATGCAAAACCAGCCAATTCAGGCCAGAGGGGAAACTTCTGCCAAAAGAAAGAATCGATCAGTACGGTAATGGTTAGACCAACCAAAATACCGCCAATGCCTGCTGGAATTATTTCTCGACGTAACCCTATCCGCCCCTGAGCCCAGAGATATATCGTAGTTGTGCCTAGTAAGACTGCGATTTCAGACCGGAAAATTACCCCTGCAATGGTGAGCAGGTAGAGCGATAATCGATAATTCCTGCTTATACGCTCACTAGATGACGCGTGTAGACAGGCCACGAGAAGGGTATAGGTAAAGGTAGCTATTGCTCATTGATAAATAGATAGACAAAAAAAAAGAGTTATATAAGATGAGAGCAGGACAAGGGATGTGCATACTGATAGGTAACGCGAACATATTCGGAAGTGTCCTCGAAGCATAGTACATGATATGGAACTGACTACCTTGGAACAAGAGGTACCATATCCCAGTAGTCAGTCCAAATGACCTGCTAAGCGCACGAGCAAACCCTCCCAAAGCGAGGAAATTAATGAACCATAGCACGCCGCGTACTAATAGGTATGTTAGCATAATACATGTATATATGCAAAGGGTATTGAAACCAACCTATGGCTTGAGGATCAGCGCCAGTTACGCGTATCACCGGCTGAGCAATGCCAGCTAGAATGACAGCGCCAACGAACGTCCTGGGGACGGATCCAGGGAAGCTAACATGATCATATTGGTTGAGGACGGGCAGCGGGTTACCGACTGAGGGCACTCCGTACTTTAATATGTCATGGGCTGCCTGGATATTAAACGACTCCTCAACCTTGGTAAAAGGGGATAGCCAAAGGTAAGCGGTGCCAATGATGCAGCTGACTGCCAGCGTAAACACGAATATCAGATTCTGCATATCATCTGGCACTCAAAGAATAGACGATTTTTAAACACCGACCAATTCACATCAAAGTTATTAAGGGTATCAGGATGGAATTGTTAACTTGTCTGGTGTGTTGACATTGGGATCGATCAGCATGTAGTTAGTTTGCAGCCCTGGAAGGGGTTGCGAAAGCACAGTCACGTGAAAGCTCCAGCTTCCAACAACGTTCGAGGTTATCAATCGATATCAACTTGCAAGGCCGCAACGAAGTCGACTCTTTGCGCTGCGCTCTCTACTCTCCGGAAACCAGGGCTCTGGACGTAAAGTGATTTCTCGCAATAAAATCTTCAAAATGTTCTTCTTTGGCCTCGGGAAACTATTTCAAGGTATGCGCTCTTTCTCTCCGCTGTCTGTCAAGTAGTACCCTATCTATCTATACCAATGCAACGCACACACCTCCAAGAAATCTGCATGAAACCAGGAGACTTACAAGCTTATCTGTCTAATCTATAGTGGTAATACTTATAATAAACGCCATTGCAATATTATCGGAAGATCGCTTCCTAGCACGAAGTAAATCGCCCCCGCCAGCCGCCATCGAATGCCCATACCCATACCCCCCTTGCCTTACCTCTTATCCTGCAGAAGTGACAATGCTAACTACTCTGATAAAAGTCGGCTGGAGTCGAACACAGTACGATGCAGGGTTCGGAGCAACACACGATAACACAAGCATAAAAGCGAAATCCGCCGATTTAATCGCTAGTGTTCGGACAGTTATGAGGAGTACGTCTGCCACACATAGACATACATACATACCTTTGTGGGGAATTTTGTTCTGACCGTTCGTGATAATAGTCCCGCTAATCGCTATAAATATGCTGGTTATATTCTACGAGTTGGTTCTGGGATGATTCTTGCTTATGGAGTTATAATGATTTGAATCGATGTTTGGCGTTTTTTATATATGATACTTACCTTCTTTCCCGCCTGACACCGCACCCACTTCCAGACATTGCGCACCGTCATGGCTGCTGGAAGGGCATCGGAGCAGTGTCCCAACCTCCGCTGAAGAAGGTCAGCGGTAGTGACGCCCAGCTGGCACAGGGTCATCTCTCAATCAAAATATTAAAATGATACGGATACAATGGTAGTGACTTAGTGAGGGGATAGGAAGCAAAGCGAAGCATAAGAGAAAGATAAATTGGAGAATAAACCTAGCCCCAGGCCAGTGAATCTAATCAATCAATCATATTAACATTTAACATTTCATTAGCGATGCATAGTTAGCCATGTACCGGGCTATATTGAACATGAACATCAACATCAACATCAACATCAACACACTTTTCTCTTGCAAGTGATCAGTTCTGTTCTTAATTTTTTCCATCAGTCAAAATCTGGCATGCCATACTGTATATGTAGACGCGCAGGAAAAAAAAAAAGAAAGGTAGTGGAAACGAACGATCTGATGCCAACAAGTGAAAATTGAACGGAAGAAGGACACCTGTCTTTCTCTGGACAGTGTAAAGAATGGGAAATGGCATTTAAATCGTCTTTGGTTTGGTATCAGGCTGTAGATCGTGAGGTAGAAAGGGAATGATGGACGGGGTTACATGGCACGTTAAAAGCGAGGGAAGTGTAGGGCTCTATATACAATCCAAAGAGGCGGAGAGGTATGGATAAGTCGCGGCAAATATATGCAGGGAAGAGAAAGATGGTCGGCTAGAAGGGAAAAAACGAGGTGATGTGATAACCAGCGACTCCGCGTAAATGAGTAGGAAAAGATAGGAAAGATGAAGAAAAGATGAAGAAAAAAGATGAGACGCCGATGAAAGCCAGCCAACCAACCAGTGTATGTATGAGGGTATGTAGTATATGGCAAACTCAGATATGTGGTACAGATGCGAAGATGATTTGACGATTCAAGCGAGAGGCAGACGGGTAAGTAAAAGAAGGGCACAGGAGCTAGGTGTGAAGTATCGAGTTACAGCACACTGAATGACTTTTTGCGGAGGCTGAACCTGCTTCGTCGGGGGGTGGGTTGTTTCGGCGGAGATGGAGTAGGGGGTGGTTGGGGCAGCGAAGTGATCTGCGACTGTTGCTGCTGAGAGGAAAAATCCTCCTGCTCAGCCTGCGCGAGGACTCTGGATGCTAGATGGGGCTGCTCACCCGTTCCAGACCCGGAAGCAGAGCCTGAAGCGGGAGGCTGGTTAGCTGCATCGTTGATTGCGCTGGATGAGGTATCGAGTTCCCGTGGTTGGAAGTTTTTGGGCGTGATAGTGATGTCTGAAGCAGTAGGGTTGCCGTTCATGGCAGAAGCAGAAGCAGTAGGTAGGGCTGGCACTTTGTCCTTGTTGTCCTTGTTGTCTTTGTGTTTTCTGCTGTAGCTGAGTGTTCGGCTGCCAAGTTTGAGTCTGCCCAGTCCGCCTGCGATTCCGTTGATGCCGTTCGTGAAGCCATTGGCGATTCCATTGGTATTTCCATTCCCATTAGCATTGGTGCTACCGTTACCATTGGCACTGTCAGATGCACCCTCAGAGGACAACCTTTTCTTCTCAGAGGACAGTCTCTTTTTCTCCTCTTTAGCCGTAAGTTTACTTGCGTCGAGGGCGGATTTGATCTGCTGTTCTTCCTTCTTCGCCAGTTCTCTCAGACGGGCCTCTGCTTTCTCCTGTTCCTTGCGCTTCTGCTTCTGGGTTTCTTTCTCCTGGGCCTTGCGGTCCTTTTCTTCACGAGCTCGTTCCTTTTTGGACTGGATTTCAGCGGCTCGGTCAGGAGTTCGAGACATCAGAGGGATACGAGGTAGAGAGATGGGCAGTTTGTTGTACGATGGCGTAGGTGCAGTGGCTGGTTGTGAATTGGCTGCCGTGGTAGGGAGGGCGGTTGGCGGGGCATCACCTATATTCGACAACTGCGGTGCGCTGGGTATCAGTTTGATGGGGTTGTATGAGCCTGCGGTTGAGTTGTCTGTCGTTGTAGGGAGCTGGGGTATGGCACTGCGAACCCGACTGATATCCTGGGGCGGTGTTGGGATTGGCTGATTTCCGGTAGTTTTCAAGTCCAGAGCCGCCAAGGGTGCCAGATCCGCATCCTGGGACTTTGAAGCGGCAGACATGCGCTCGTCACTCTGCAGCTCGCGCTGCATGGCCTCGAAGGTAGTCTCCTGGTAGAACAAGACATATGCACAAGCCTGGCCCGGCTTATCACCGAAGAAATTGCGCACATAGCTTTTGTCGACGGGTTCGACCATCTCGTCATCGAACAGCAGCCAGCCTCTGTCTTCGGTTTTTATGATAGCTACATAGTGGCCATGGTAGGGCCCGCCGCCGATGTGCACGACAACGGCATAGAGCTCGTACAGGCGGTCCGGGTCCTCGGCATCGTCGGTGGTATTGAAGAGTCGTAGGTAGTAAGGGTAGACGACACGATGGAACAGCTTCTGTAACCTTTGCTGGTCTTCGGTGTACTTGAAGCGTTTCAGGTGCAGAGCCAATATCCTGGGTAGCCGCTTTATCTTCATTCTCTTTTCAGCTTCCTGCAGGCCACCGCAGTTATCACAGTGAAACTTGTTGCGTTCGCAGAGCATCTCTTCCTGCGAGAATTTCCGCAGACATGAGGTTACGGAGGAGTGCTGTTCCAGGTCGACGGAGAGATCAAGGAATGCCTCGTCACGCTGGGATTTCTTTTCACAGGTAAGACACTCTGTTTCGGAGGTGAGTTTCCCCTCGAACAGCTCGTGGACCCAGCGAGTGCTGTAGGGGGACTTTGCGCTGCCGCCGACAGAGGTAGCCAGTGTAGTTGCGACGGAGGTTGAGGTTGCGGTGCTTGACTCTGAGTCGGCATCTGCTTCGAGCATGGACGTCCTGTTTGCCTCGGCCTCGACATTGTTGACGACTTCGTTGAGCAGCAGGTTCAGAAACTCGTGGGCGTCCTGGTGCATGGCCGTTCTGAACATCTCGTTTTCCCGCCGTAGGACGTCGAGGAAGTGCTGTGGTCTGACAACACCGACGCGTTCCTCGCTGGCCGCTATGGACTCGAATATGTCCTTTAGCGAGGTAAAGAGGGACTCCTGCATGCCGTAGTTTTGAGAATTGTCGGTTGTCTCGAGGACGGGCAGGGTATGCATGGCGACCTTCTTCTTGTACTCTGGTGAGTCCTTGTCCTCTGCCTTTGGGATCTGGTTCTGCGGGTTAAGTGTTGGTCTGACTCCATTGCTGGTGGCGAGCTGCTGCTGCTTGAGCTTGGTCTGGAGCAGTGCTTCTTCGAGCGAGATGTCTGGGTCCGGGTACTTGAAGTTGGTGGAGAGTGCGTGTTTGAGCGACTCTGGCGGAGAGCGCTGGGGGTAGTTTATGACGGACTCTCTGAAGGGGGCGGAGTAATATAGACATTGGAGGATAGAATTGCAGTAGCTGTGAGAGGTAAGGCCTGTTAGGAAAGACATTATTATATCCCAAAGAGAAGAGAAGGTCCCTGACTAACCATGTGTTGGCGAATGGGGCCTAGAAGAACATGTCAGTACCACTTCGCTAATATTTGATGAAAAGTATGAAAGTATGAAGGGGCCTGCTTACATTCTCCATGCCAAAGAACTTGTCACTGCCATCACTTTTGAGCGGTCCGGCGTCCGAGAGGAGTTTCTGGAGCGGTGTCTTGGGCAAGGGAGCCGAGTCCTTCTTCGAGGCTGCGGTACCGTTGGCGGAGGTGCTGTTGGCCTGGATAAAAGCAAAAGAGAAAAGAGAGAGAGTCGATAATCAGCAAAAAAATGATGTCACTTTTTTTTTAAAAAATGCAAAAGCTGCGGTGTCCTCAAGGGAGCTCCGACGTACTCCATTGCCTCTGAACTTGCCAAAGAACGAGCTCATGGTGAACCGCGAGCTCGAAGGGTCTGGCTGTCACCGGCTCTCACGCAGCCAAGCCAGAGGAGGGCCGGCGCAGAGCAGCACAGGAATGAATATAATATAATATATATAGGTAAATGTATATAAAAATAGCAGAGTTATATGCGACGATCGAGTCAACAGACAGGCGGTTCGACGGAGGCGCACTGGACCATCTGGACAGAGAAGAGGGCGTAGGAATAAGAGGAAGATAGGAGACGGAAGAAGGAAGCGTCTTTGCAGCAACGGCGACGATCGTATTCCGGCGAGGGTCTTTGTCGACGCAGGGCTGCAGGCGAGGGAACTAAGAAAAAGGCGACCAAGAGCGGATCTTGCCGTGGGTACAGTCGGGGTAAAAGGGCCGACGGGGACAGCGAGAGGGCCAGCGAGGCTCAAGCGAGGAGGAAGAGGAGGAAGAAGAAGAAGAAGAAGAAAGAGAAAGAGAAAGAGAAAAGCCCTGCAGCTGTGAGGACGGTCGAGGGCGCAGGCGAGGGCGAAGGTGAGGGTGTTTCACGCAGGGAGGAGAGCGAGAGAGAGAGAGAGAAGAGAGAGA